CACGGTTGGCTAAACTGCGACGAGAACTCATTACACCCAAAGGCGGCGGAGGGGCCACAGGGGAGGGCTTCGATGTGGCCAAGACTGGCGACGCCCGCATCGGTTTCGTGGGCTTCCCATCGGTGGGGAAGTCGACACTTCTGACCACTTTGGCCGGTGTCTACTCAGAGGTCGCCGCCTATGAGTTCACGACACTCACCACCGGTTGGTAACCACGGATTGTCTGTGCATTCGTGCGGCTAATGAAGTGTCTGTTTGTGTGTTTAGTTCCCGGAGTAATCAAATACAAGGGCGCGAAGATCCAACTCCTGGATCTGCCGGGTATTATAGAGGGCGCCAAAGATGGCAAAGGAAGAGGTCGTCAAGTGATAGCTGTGGCGCGAACTTGTAGTTTGATTTACATTGTGTTGGATGTGTTGAAGCCGTTGCAGCACAAGAAGCTCCTCGAGAAGGAGTTGGAGGGCTTTGGACTGCGGCTCAACAAAGAGCCGCCGGCGCTGACGGTCCGCAGGAAAGACAAGGGAGGCATCAATTTGCAGTGTATGGTACAGCAGTCGGAACTCGATTTAGACACCGTTAAGACCATTCTGTCGGAGTATCGCATCCATAACGCCGATGTCTTCGTCCGATTCGACGCCACCACCGATGACCTCATCGATGTGATCGAAGGCAACCGGATCTATACGCCATGTCTCTATATCCTCAACAAAATCGATCAGATCTCCATCGAAGAGCTGGACATCATCTACCGGATCCCTCATTGCGTCCCCATTTCAGCCCATCATAAGTGGAACTTCGATGACTTACTGTATGTCTCATCGGATCTATTATCGGATTCTTTTATTAATTTCTGATTTTCTCTAATCTTAGATACAAGACATGGGATTACCTTAAACTTCAGCGAATGTATGCATTGATGAACTTATTGTACAATTGATATACTAATAGATTGTTTGTCCCAAACAGTTATACTAAACCGAAGGGACAGTTACCTGATTACGAGTCGCCCGTCATTCTGAACATTGAGAAGAAGTCTGTGGAGGACTTCTGTAATAAACTGCACCGGACTATAATGAAGGAGTTTAAATAGTGAGTTCAAAATAGGTGTTCCCTTACTTCCCGTACAGTGGTGTAATTGTTTGGCATTACCT